TTTTTTTTTTTTTGGTTGGTCATGGGGCCTGAACTCTGGGCCTGGGCCTCAGCTCAAGGTAGCACTCTACCACTTGAGCCACAGCGCCACTTCCAGCTTTTTCTGCTTATGTGGTGTTGAGGAATCGAACCCACGGCCTCATGCATGCTAGGCAGGCACTCTACCACCAACCCACATTCCCAGTCCCATATTTCTACTCTCATATCTACCCATATGTACTCGTATCTACTCTTCTGGCTGGGTATGGTGGTACACATCTGTAGTTCCAGCATACAGGGGGTAAAGCAGGAGAATGAGAATTCCAGGCCATAGTAGCAGACCTGGAACACACTGTCTTAAAAAAATATCTATTAGCCAGGCACTGGTGGCTCACATCTGAAATCCTAGCTACTCAGGAGGCTGAGATCTGGCTTTACCCAAAGCTAGCCTGAGTAAACAAGGCCCAGAGACTCTTCAATATACCTGCAAAAAGTTAGAATTAAAGGTGTGGCTCAAATGGTAGAACACCAGCCTTGAGAAAAAATGCTAAGCAAGCCTAGTGTCAGTAGCTTACTCCTGTAATCCTAGCTACTTAGGAAGCTGAGATCTGAAGATAGAGATTCAAAGCCAGCTCAGGTAGGAAAGTTTGTGCGACTCTAATCTCCAGTTAACCACTCAAAAACCAGAAGTGGAATTGTGATTCAAAGTGGTAGAGTGTGCTAGTCTTGAACAAAAAGAGCTCAAGGACCATACCCAGGTCCTGAGTTCAAGCCCCAGGACCAATAACAACAAAAAACTAAGCAAGAGTGTGAGGCTGAGTGTTAAGTCCCAATACTATCCCCCCACACACACACAAAAGAAAAAAGAAAGAAAATTATACATCTTTCAAATGCTAAAAATAAGAATATCTAATAGCATTTAATTCATGTGGACATGCTTAAAAATTGAGTTGGCAGTGTGTGTCTGTGTGTCTGTGTCTGTGTGTCTGCACTTCCTGCTAAGTGGGTTACAAATAGCTGGTGGCATCTAACTGGGTACATGCTTTCCTCTTCTTTGTCTTCTCAAAGGTCGAGTGGTGGGCATTCTTCAGAAGAACTGGCGAGATTATGTGGTAACATTTCCATCTAAAGAAGAAGTCCAATCTCAGGGCAAAAATGCTCAGAAGGTTCTAGTTACTCCCTGGGATTACAGAATTCCCAAAATCCGGATCAGCACTCAGCAAGCAGGAGCCCTGCAGGTAACTGGTGTTGCAACTCCTCTGTTTTGGCTCTGCCTCCCACATATTTTTGTTTGTTATTGGTCCTGGGGCTTGAACTCAGGGCCTGGTGCTGTCCCTGAGCTTTTTTTGCTCAAGGCTAGCACTCTGCTCTACCACTTCAGCAAGCCAGGCAGGAAAATCCGTGAGACTCTTCTCCAATAAACCACCAGAAAACTGGAAATGGTGCTATGG